ATATATATATATATATATATATTCAATTATTAAAAATAAAATTTTAATAAAATTATAATGTATGAAAATTTCCGAACTCGAGACTAAAAAAAACTTTTTCATATGCTTAATTAAAAAAATTAGTCTAGAAACTTGCAAAATTACAAACTATTTAGAGCTTTTATTCTTTAGAAAATAATTTTATATAAAATTTACTTTAAAAATTAATTCAAATTTACATTAATTTTGTTGTACTGTTTATGTTTAAAACTTACATAAAAATTTAACTAAAAGTTTTCTTTTTCTTTAGAAGATAATTTGCACACACGCACACTCTAATTTTAACTTTTATTTTTCTTCTTTTTCTCTATTTTAAAAGTACTTATACTGAAGTTGTTAAAACAATTCTAACTTTATTGCATGAAAGTATTTTTAACTGTCTTTTTTTTTAACGAGTTATCTTAAAAGTTTTCTCTCCAGTCAAATTATTTTTTTAAAAAATATCTCCTATATCTTTCTATCTACAGTTTTTAGTATATTTAATTATAACTTTTTTAAGATTTTAACTTCAAAATATCAAACAGAATGCTTTTATGAAAACAAAATTATAATTATAAAAATAAATATAAATAATTGTTATAGTAAAAAATATTTTTTATTTATTTTATAGATATTTTTTATTGTAAATAGTTATTTTAATTTTAAAAAATTATTAAGTTAAAAAAAATGATCAAATAAAAAACAGTTAAATTTTAGAAAAATGATGAAAATTAATAAGATATTCATTTAAACTTTAAAAAACATTACTTACTAAAGGTAAAATAAAAAAATGACATGTGTACACTTAATTCCCTGTTATCACTACAAAAAAGTCTAATTTTACCGGGGTTTTATTTTATGTTACCGGTGGTTTTAATCCCGTCTAAATATATTACCCGCGGTTTCGAAAACCCATAGGAAAAGCATAATTACCGACGATTTTCTAAAAAACCGTTACTATTTTTGGGGTTTTCAAAACCGCTGGTATTTGCAGGGTTTTCACAAAACTACCGGTAATTACCAGGGACTTTCACAAAACCACCGATAATTATCAGGGGTTTCCAAAACTGCCGATACTTACAGAGATTTTTGCAAAACCACCGACACTTGCAGGGTTTTTTCAATACCGGGAATGAAATTATTTTTTTATATTCCAAATATTATTTGATTTTCATAAAAAAAATTGTTTTAATAATAAAAGACACAATTAAATAATTTGAAAATAAAATTAAATATTATTGTATAAAATATATCTAAACATTGTTAAATACAATTAATTATTGAACATAAAGTAACATTATTCAACCATACAAATTAAAAAAAAAATTCAAGAATAATTGCTAAAATTGTTCAATCTTTTAGGTTGGCCAATAGCTCCTAATTATTAGATATTAAACATTACTTCAAGAGTCCAAAACAAATGCACAAGTTTTCCAAACATTCCATTTTCTTTGCTTACAACTCTTTCGCTTTCCTGAAAAATAACACAATTGATAGTCTTCAACATTTAAACAATAAAATGCAAGAAAACAATATTTAATTGAAGTTCTATTCCAATTCCAAAACAAACTATTACTTCATAATAAGATAGTATGACAAAAAAATAGCATAAACTTATTACTGTTTCAAACCTCTAATGCATTCACTTCCAATATTGGCTAGTTTTATGAACCAGATTACCCTTGTTATTCAATTTTAATTTTAAAAATAATAATTTTAATACATTACGTCAATATTATTGTATTTTTTTCTTTCAATTCAAACAATTTAAAGGATATATGATACCTAGTATAATAACTAGCCATCCACCTTTGACAATCTGAATCACAGAATATTATCTGAATGTATGCTAGCTGGAGATAAAGGGTGGGTTTCAGAGCTATAATTTAACTTTGCTTTTTAAGGTGCTTCTTACACTGAGATTATATGACCATTAAATTAAATAATTTTATAACCCAACCATTTAATTTCAATTCTCACCAATTCATCAATTATAATCCCTTTAAACAAACGAATGCAATTTACACGATCAAATACATTCCCAGCCACCATGCTTGAGCTAAATTACAACATCCACAGTCTATTATTCAGCAACATAAAACAGGGTTATACGGGTGGAGCGGCACGCATTGAAGTAGTGAGTGGTGTCGTGGTAGACAAATGTCATACGGGATTTGTTTGGTACATCTTGTCTTTCATGAGTGTCCAATTAAAAGATTATCTAACCATATACCTCAATATTAAAAAAAAAATATGATAAAACGTGAAATATTTAATGTTGAAATAGTCATACAATTCAGTAACAAAACATGTATTAAAAGAAGTTATGTTTCTTAAGAGTAAACGTAAATCCCTAAAGAAGTTATCGTTATAAAAAATGTTACAAGTTAAACATTTAAATCGGATATTTTATAAGAAAAAAATTAATTACAGATAATTTTTTTATTGACTACATCAAATTCGTTGATAATTATCCATAAAGCTCAACAGTATACATAATTTTAGTTCACCTATTCATTTTGCACAGCCTCTTCCTTGGGAACATAGTTGGGAATTGATCACCTATTCATTTTGCTAAGTGTATCCTAAACACATCTATCCTTGTCATGTGTCTGTTTGCCTGTTGCACAAAGTAAAGCAATGTTAAACTTTTCATAAAAGTTTACAAGTGAAAAAGAAAACTGCAGCCTGACATATCAGCATCTAAATGTTGTAATTTGTACTCTAATACTGCAATCAAATATTTGATCTACCTCAACAACAAAGCTTGCCCATAGTTTGTTCTTCTTTCTTTCCATCTTGGCTTTCAATATATTCAATCCAAAACCCCGAATTATGTCAATGATGGGCAGGGAATATACCCTGCACATCACAAAGCATCCGCAACAAAGTAATGCCAATGAATTAATTTTGTATAAGTAATCCAAATGATAGATATGTAAAACATACACTGAATTCTATCTTACCATTATGAGCATTACGAAGATATCTGAAGAACTTCCATGTGCTGCTACTATCACAACTTTCCCATTTTCTTTAACAACCTTCAATGTTCTATCAATCTCACTCTGCCTTGATTTTAGAATCAATCATACACAAATTTTCAATAATGTTATTATAGAAAATCTGATACAAATGCAATCATTTGTACAATATTACTTTTGGTCTATCTGTATATTGTTGCAGCATATTAATTATACACGACAAAAATATATAGGTTCAGAGTTTCAATATCTCACCTACTGTATCGTACACTACATCAAAATTTTCTTCCAGCTCTTCAAGCAGCCCCTTTGTATAATCAATGGCTAAGTATGCTCCCAAGTTCCTTAACAAGTCCAATTTCCCAGTACTGGCTGTGGCTGCAACCTTTGATGCCCCAAAAAACGTGATTCGTTAGCTGCATCGTCAAACACATACACAACAAATCATTTGGCATGTTCTGAATTGATTTATGTTGATAATGAGAAAATTTTCAATTCTAGAAGGAATTTAAGAGTGTTCCATAAACACATTATCTTAAAGACAGTGCTGCAATAAAAACATTATTTAATGACAGTGCTGTTAGTTCTCTTACTTATACATACTTGTAAATCTTATTTAGAAAAAACTTATTCTTGAATCAATCTTAAAAGTGTTGAGTCGGTACTCATCACATTCGAATCTCTTGATTATATATATCTGTTGATTACATATATTGTTTCGTGTCCCACTTCATATGCCCATGTAATGCCACAGTTTTTGCTATCCGACACACCACTGTTTTAGAACCACTTTCTGAGTTATCTAAGAAGTGAAAGCTATGACCATAACCACCCCTTGGAAACCTCACTATATTTGTTTGAATCTGATCTGTTACTGGTCGCTAGATGCAAACTAATATGAATGGAGATGAAGTACAGATGCATTGATTTAAACAAGTCTACAATATTAAGATAAGACTAGAAATGCAATGCAAGATTTAAAACTAAATTGAAATCTCAAAATCACGAGTTATAACCAAGGTTGGTAGCAACTAGCGTGACAGCCTAGAGTGTAAACTGTGACTTCAGATTATATTCGCTAAGATAATCTAACTAATATCTACTGATGCAAACATAACCAATGCAATGTAAGTTGATCCTAAACACAACCATTTTCATGTGAGTAAACATGTGCATGCATGTAGGTAAATTATTGGAAGTACAGGGGAGCGCTTAGTTAGGTGCTTAGATGGGTAGTGAAAAAGGACCAATAATAAAATGAATCTTTATAAGAAAACAAAGTACAAAAAGCAGAGCCAACAATTGTGCGTTATTGATGGAATCTTCCACAAAGCTTGTTTAAGTCAAGTACTAAACCAGCGGAGCAGAGAAAATGTGCAGTGTCGTGTATTACCTTTCCAAATCAACACCATTTAAAGCCTTTATGTTGGTCTCGCTTATGCTTTATCAGATTCTTTCACTATTCACAAGTCATGGATCTAAAGCCTCCCTCTGGTATAAATGAGTTGTGTTACCTCTGCATTGAAAACGAAGACAATAAGAGTTCTCCAAATTTCATTGTCTTCACAGTGATTATTGCAGTCATTGTTATCCAAAACAACACCACAGTGATGGTAGGTAATAAGCAGAAGAAGTCTTCTTCCAGTTTCTTCTCTATTTTCAACGTCTTCTCAAGTATAACCTGGAAGTGTTGGACCACCTGGGAAGCAGTGCTACTTATATTAGATGCAGCAGAAGCATTCCTCCTAAGCTTTGGAGGATTGAAACTTTCAGCAGCACTGCTTTGTTGACGCACAATTCCTTCAAAAGAAAGTACGAATCAAAATCAATGATGCAATAGTTATATATATTAAGGAACCAAAAAAATCAGACATTCGCTTCAAAGTTATATTGACCTTTTCAAAGACTACGAAAATAGAAGCAAATAAGTCAAGAAAACATCACTATGAACTAANTATCAGATTCTTTCACTATTCACAAGTCATGGATCTAAAGCCTCCCTCTGGTATAAATGAGTTGTGTTACCTCTGCATTGAAAACGAAGACAATAAGAGTTCTCCAAATTTCATTGTCTTCACAGTGATTATTGCAGTCATTGTTATCCAAAACAACACCACAGTGATGGTAGGTAATAAGCAGAAGAAGTCTTCTTCCAGTTTCTTCTCTATTTTCAACGTCTTCTCAAGTATAACCTGGAAGTGTTGGACCACCTGGGAAGCAGTGCTACTTATATTAGATGCAGCAGAAGCATTCCTCCTAAGCTTTGGAGGATTGAAACTTTCAGCAGCACTGCTTTGTTGACGCACAATTCCTTCAAAAGAAAGTACGAATCAAAATCAATGATGCAATAGTTATATATATTAAGGAACCAAAAAAATCAGACATTCGCTTCAAAGTTATATTGACCTTTTCAAAGACTACGAAAATAGAAGCAAATAAGTCAAGAAAACATCACTATGAACTAAAAAGTACATAAATATAAAATGAAGCTAGCAAGTTGCAATATCATCATGTCAAGAATGACAAAGAACTGAGCAAGGTGAACTCCTGGTATCTTTCGGGAACATCTAAATTTATTCTACAACAGAGAAAATAAATATAAAGTAAGAAAGAATATTTGTAAATTCTAGCGGAGGCAGTAGTGTCGGAGATTAGCTTCGCCGCATCACTCTCTCCCTCAGCACGGATAATCAAGGCCTGTCACTCCTGCTTGGCCTTCATCACAACGAACTTGGACTGCTCAGCCTCCTGCTGCGCCACCTGCTTCTGCTCCACCGCTTGTGAGAACTCGCTGCCGAGGAGAGGTGCGATTTTTCTATCATACAACCTACAGAAAATCACAAGCTCCTCAAAATCGCCATTGGAGAGCTCCTAAAAAACGTCGAGGTTGGTGAGCTTTGGGTTTTCAAAATTAGGGATTTGGAGGAGGAGAGACAAGAGTTAGAAATTGGAAAGTGTCGAAGGAGTTGAAGACAGAGAAGTCGAGAAGAAGGTGAAGATAGAAACGACCAGAAGACGGAAGCGCGGCGTTGGGTGCCAAATATTTTAGAAAGTACTGGAGGCGCGATTTGAGCGCCAAATATTTTGGATATTTCACTTAAACACGGTTTTGTATTGAAACCACCCATAATTAGGAAAGGTTTCAGGAAACCAACCCCTACTATATTGCTTTATTTTTGTAGTGTATAGATACTGTATTTGTGAAATAATGTTAATAGTATTTCCTTTTGTAAAGAAATCAAACAATATAGTTCATGGTAAAAAAAGTGTCATTTTCAAACTTCAAAATTGAGGGTCATTTAACATGTAATCTCATCACAAGTTCTAAGATAAATAATGCTTTATTTTTACTTATCAGTGAGATCACAATCCAGGCCTTGATCACAATCAAGAAACATTCAAATTCAACAACCAGTACTCACCACCTCTCACATAATCTAACTTAACATAGACAAGTCTTCCATGAAACTCCTCTAGGTCGCATCACATCACGACATCTGAGAGCACCAGAACCAAACTTTTATTTGCTTAGATTATTATTATTGTGTCTTCTGTCAAGCCTCGCTAAAAGCATCCAATTAACTTGCATCATCTTTTGCTAGGGGCACAGATTTTGCCTGCAAAAAAAAAAAAACAAATGTAATGCTACAAATAAGAAGCCAGAGGGCAAACCTCTTCATGACAACTAAGAATGCATGTAAGTAAGATCACTATGATCCGACCAATCTCCACATGAAATGTAACTATATGTTAATAACTCAGTTGTAATTTGAAAATTTCGATTGAGTCCTGAAATGATGGTTCGGATATTTGTCATAACCATGCAATGATGAAGTTTGTAATCGTACATGAACAATTTCATGTGACTCACCAAATCACGGAACTTGAGGATATAGAACATCTCAAGATATCGTCGAGTTTCACGCCTCTCCAATTTGGAAACGTATTTCCAGAAACTGTAAACTCCCGCCAAGGTCAAGAGCCTTTCGGAATAAATCTTCCAAGTGTAGCTTTCATAAATTCTTTTAAGACCACCATCAGATATTTTCTTCCAATGGCTTGGGTCAGTCTTGCAGATTTGGAAGAATTCAACCAATAGCTCTGAAGCTTGATCCGGGTGATAAGGATCAATGTGAAATCCTGATATACCATGCTCGATGATCTCAGCTGGACCACCATTGCTAGTAGCAAATGTTGGGAGTCCACAGGTCATGGCTTCCACAACTGTGAGCCCGAAAGCTTCATAGAATGCAGGCTGAAGCAATGCAGTAGTAGTTACAAGGAAATCCTGAGCGATTAAATCAAATGGGAAAGAGATATCAGTATAATTATAAAACCTGAACGAAAGCGCCTTGTGTGTCTGCTATGTAGCGATACAGCTCCCCGTTACGTGCCCTATTTGTTTGGGCAGCAATCCAACGAAAATCACCATTTAAGTTGTACTCTTTGATGAGACTGTGCATCTTCTCAATTTCTGCAATTTCTTCTCTGTCGCTGGACTTCTTTACATCTATGTAACCAGCTACTACAACAAGGTTTACCAGCTCCCTCAATTTGCTGCTCTTACCAAACAATTCAACCAATCCTGTCATGTTCTTCACTCTGTCTAGCCTTGCCATGGAGAAAATTATGGGCTTTGACTTGTCTTTCAGTGTTCCACTGTCGCATAGAGACAAAGATAAACTCATTAGCTGTGCACATAACGCCAAAATACGTCTTAACAGTAATTACAAACAGCTCTAAGTATTATATCCCTTATCAGGAATAAGTGAGTGGAAACAAGGGATCAATACTGAAGAATACTTGAGTTTTTGCACGATGCATAACAGACAACTAGGTCAATTTTTATTTATATTGATCCTTCATGGATGGTAAAGGCAGAACTATTAAATTAATCATAAGATCAACTACACATGGAGATACAGAATGATGCAAAAGTTTCGCAACTGAAATAGACTCACATGTAGTCATCAGTCTGTGTTGGATCATACAGTAGCTGTTCAATGGAACCGTGCAGGGATGTAAGCCTGTTCTGCTTTTCAGAGTAGGGAAAATATATTGACATATCTGCTCCGGGAGAAACAATATTGAACTTGGGATCAAAAACATCAATGCCGTGGACAACCCTGTACAGCCCAGGAAGAGTAAAACCAGTGTGGCTCTCATACTGTCCAACTGTATTTTTCCTGTAAGTACAAGTTAAAGAAAATGAAATGAGTGGCATCAGCATACCGAAAACCAAAACATATATAAAGATTACAACGAAAAAACTTCAAATGTCAGAGATGCCTAGAGAGATGCTTAAGCAAAATAGTAACTATCCCACATGCCTCTGAAAGAGGTTTCCAAGACAAAAGAAATGACTAGGTATATTATACTTACGTTCCTGCAATCTCTTGGTAGGTGCTGGTGATGATAAAATCAGCGTTATTCATGGCTATTAAATCAGCAGTGAACTGGCATGAAAAGTGATATTTGTCATCAAATTTCTTCCAGTATATATCTGAATCCGGATATTTTGTCTTCTCAAGTGCATGGGCGATGGTGCACTACACATGGTAACATCCAAATCAATTTAAGGTGGACTGTCGGCAGTAGATAACATCAGATGTCACGTTTCGAAAGGCAAAGTAAGATAAGAAAAAAGAGGGACAATAACCTGTGTAACTCCCATTTTATAAGCCAATAAAGATGCAACAAGATTCCCATCACTGTAGTTTCCAATGATGAAGTCAGGATAACCTTGTAACTCAGCAGCAATTTCACTGGCAACGTCCTGTTGACATACTCAGCCATCAATATTAAATGGAAATGATAACAAATCTAAATTACGCTAAGAAATTGCTTAAATCCTAATAATGATTCATGGGCAAGTGAACAATTCAATTACCTCTGAATAAGTCTCTAGATAAGGCCACACATCAAACCTTGAAATCCATTTACGGAGAGTTCCTGACTCTGATCTGAATGGAACTCGCAAAATATGTGTGTGCTCGGTACCACTGACTCTTTCTAGTCGTTGATTGCAAGTTGTCCCCTTTGCATCGGGTATTAGCCTGGTAACCTGCAAAATAGTAGAGAATTGAACTTGATTTGAACTCAAAAAACGATCAAATACAAAAGCTTTATCGATATGAAAAGCCAGACCCAAAGAGTTACACTTACAATCAGAATTCTAGGAGTGAAATCTAGTCCTTGTTTCTTAATCCGAAGGAGCATCTCATTCTCAAGGGCACGCACTTGATCTAGTATATAAACAACCTGCATATAAAACCTTCAATGTAAGATAAAAGGATGGAAACAACTAAGGGAAACAAAAAGAGGAGGCATTAAAACAACTATTCTTTTCAGTATATGACAAATGAGATAGATACCTGCCCACCAGTGTCAGGCAAACCCAAGACATTGGCTTGTCCGAAGAAGCCATGAGGAGACAATATAACAACATTGAATACCATTGGCACTCTGCCAAGAAAAGTCTCTAGGGTAGAAGGATCAGGAGCCTGAAGAATATCCAGTAGCAGATGCATCGTTTCCAATACACTTTCAGCAGTATCACCCCATCCTCTCTCAAAACCCATTCCTTGTAACCTACATTCAGAACCAATCAAAGGAAAAAAAAAGTTAAAATAAAAAAGTCCCACAAAATTCTCCCAGCACTCTGTTGCAAAATTAAAACACGTAAACCTCGTAAGCTTACACGTATTCAAACTCTGAATAAGGTGTATCACGTGGAATCTTATAAAGATAATCCTCAGTCTTGGCCAGAGCAGTCTGGAGTTTGGAAATGTTCTGTATTCTGTCATTCAACATCAGAGCCTGTGACATGGACAACAAGGGAGAGAATTACTGATTCCTCGTACTAAAACAAAGAATATAAATAAGACATTGAGTACTCATAAGTCAGTTTAAGAGCATATATGTCATTCAGAG